AACCTTGTAATAAGTTCGTGGCTTGTAAATAGTTCATCATTACTCAGCGTAAATGGCTTTTCATTAAAAATTACCCGGCGACGCATCTTTAAAATGGCCGGCAACGCTTTGGGCTTGAAAATCCATATATTGCCGACATAGTGGCAAACCAGAGATTTTTTAGAATCAGTTCATTTTTAATTTAAGCATTTATTCAAAATTTAAACCAATTTCTCAAGTATGATAATACTGGTATCCATGATACTTTACTGGTCAACTTATAGGACTCAAAAATGAACTTGAGGGAGAGTCTAAACAACTCTCTGCTTTGCCACTATGATTGCCGACGCTGCATCCACCCTCGGCCTAGTGGAACATGGACTAGGGAAAAAAAATAGATTCTCACCCTGGAGCCTCATTCAGGTAACAAATTCACTGAAAAGTGGTAGTTTTTGCAACCTTGATAACTGCATTTAGATTAGTTGGTAAAATGGAATAAAAGGTAGCTACTATGGCTAAAAATAGTAAATGGCTTTATGTCAGGACAGTGGTGTACTGGTGTTTGCCTTAACAAAAAAAAAATCATGCACCTCCTGTTTCAGTAGGTTAAATTCTGAAATTAGAATCGATTAAAATACTCACATCACCCATCCAGAGCGCTCCTTCCCTTGCCATGACCATAGAATCGCCTTCACTATGTTTGGTATTAAATTGAATTAGATTTGTTTTGATATTTCAGAACTCACAAGCTCAATAAAGCTGTTTCGTTAACACATGGGAAGCGGAATCTGCGGAATACACGGAATCATAAACTTAGCGGACACCATAACCGCCGGCTCTGCCACCCAGGCACCTATCGCCATGGTTGCTATCGTCTATCATTCAACCATGCGTTTATCGGCCACTTTAGGAAATGATTTTTATAAACACATTTTCTACGCCTAATTTGGTCAAATCAAAAATGATCTTCAGTAATTTAAGAAACCATCTTTCCTTTTACAACGAGCTCCTGCAAGCGCACCTAGAATCATTTGTGTCCGCCTCATTTTCCCGCCGTGTACAGTTAAATGCTAAGGTATTGTATTATTTGCACACCCAACTCATTGTTGATCTTCTTCTTTTCAGGGTGTTCAAGTTGGGTAGACTGAGAGCCACAGGACAACCACAAGAATGACCGTTGGGCCTGCGAACTACCGCAGTTCAACCATGCACCTAACATAGCGTTTAACGCATTACGTTAATACGACTGCAGCTCAACCATGCACCTAACATAGCGTTTAACGCACTACGTTAGAAGGAAGTATTCAAAAATCATTCTGGTTTCGCTCGCATATGCGTACTGTAAATAAACAGCGCCATTTCTAATTGATTGAGAATCAGTTTTAATTCAAATAAAGTATGGGAATAGTGCTACAACCTAGCGTGTTCATTTACCACGAAACGGACAATATTAAATTGACAACGCACGGAGCGTAAGCGGTAATGTCAATAAATATCTCCTTCGTCAATCAAGCGCAGTTTGGTTTGGATTTCATCTAATTATGCATAATATGGTAAACAAATTCAGTCATAGTGTTTGAGCGGTCATCCAGACTTGTGCGAATGAAAAATATGCCAGTGTACATAAATTCACACTGTATGTCCCTTTGATAGTTATTATCTGGTTATGTAACACGACTCTGCATTGTATACTGCAATTGAGGAAGACTGAAGCGGCCTAGCGTTAGAACGGCTTCATGTTTTTTTTTTGTTTAATTCTGAAAAAAAACACGGATTTGACGAAGGTTAGTAAAAACGCATTCCACTCTAGTGATTTAGTGGATGCACATTGTACTGAGAAGTTCCGTTGAAAAAGTCAACTAGAGAATAGAATACCAGAATGTTGGAAAGCGCACTACTTGCTTAATCAAGGTCGCATCCGTTAAGACAATGAAAAGCCGAAAAAACGGAAAGCCAAAATAATGTAGGAGCTTCTGAACTGTTTAAGGCTCTTTCCTGATTCATTGCAACATCTTGTGTAAGAAATTAATAAGGCTCTCAAACGCAAAACCTAATTTAATTGAAAACTATATGAACAACGAAATAACTCTTCCTAATCATTTTATTGAAACAGATACTTTAGGCCATCTAAAAAACGATGTTTTGAGTCAACGAATGAGTTGAGCCTACAGTTAGCCTAATTGAAAAAAAAAAACAGACACGGTCAGATTTGAATATTTTATGGTGGAAAATGCATTATGTCATCAAACTTGGATGACATTTCTTGAAAATGATGAGAAATTCCGGCGTTGGATGCAGTTGTTCGTGAGCACAAGGAGTGCTTACGCGATGTTTTCAATTAAACTTGCACTTGGAAAAGTCCATCTCGGGGTGCTGCGACATAAATCTGAAAAATCGGACATGTTAAGAACATCACGAAGAGATAGTAGAAAGTCAATCTCATACGAGTATACTTTATAGTGTTCAGGAATAATACCATGGATACTCTTTTACAATTTGTAATCTAAAATCTTAAATTATGTCTATTTATATTAATGTTTACACAGCAATGAAGCTAACGAAGCGCATCTTTAAAAAATAGGCTCTTCAAGTATTATAATGTTGAAATAACTTCCGTAATTGTTTATAAAAAATATAACTCAGTACTCACGGCAGTGAGTGACAGAGAGCGCCTTTTCTCGTCGACGAAAACTTGAGGTCACGGACGGACAGACAGACAGAGACAGACGGACGGACATGGCGAGCACAATAGTGCATTTTTTCCATAAATGAGAAAATGCGCTAAAGATGTATACAATAACAGACGATATAATTGTACTGTTTGTTTCCTTCATGCACAAGGAACCATTAGTCTCTTTCGTCACCTTTAAGATTTAATAGGCTTTATACAATAATTATAAACTCGGTGGAAGTACAAGAAATGAGAGATATTTCTGTAAACGGCAGTAAAATTGTTATACAAAATGTTTAGTATCAATTGTAAGTAAATTCTCACGGCACTTACTTCTTGAGGACTTCTTGCTTCTTTTGTTCATCAGAAGTAGGGAGTCCCATTTCCTTCTGACGCTGGTCATACATCATCTTCTCGACCATGCCACGCGTCTCACCGTCCAAGTCACTCAGGTTACTTTTCTCGGGATTCACTTTACGGGTGTTGATTTCTGGGTCACTCTTCACCAACTTCGACCACCACTCCATCTTGTTGATCTGAATACACAATGTGGTAAAATCCAGTGTACGTGCTGAGCATCATAATTTGTAAGACGTTTGAACTTTCCTAATTGCCGGATACTTTTTGAGTATATGTACTTGTATTAATTACTCAAAGCACATTAATTGAAAATACTCATAATAGTGAAATGAAAACACAAAGAATAAGTTTCCAAGGATATGAAGAACACCAGTAAAAAAAGTAGAAACATTTTTAAGATAGGAAAAATTCAAGCATGGACATTCATGACGACGACATTTTCACACAGTGCAAAAATTTTTTTGGAAATTTGGATTTTTTCACATTTTCAGATATCGCTGACTATGTCATGCAAATGATTATAAGTAAAGAAATTTTGAGGCTCACACACCTTCTCGATCTGCAGGACTATAGCTTGTTCATTATCCAGGTACCAGCTGCACTCCTCGACTTTGATCTCCTTGCAGAGCTCATCGTTGATGATGGGCTCGCTGTTCTTCAGTCCAACCTTCAAGCTCCGGCGGCTGAATTCTACTGCAACGTTGCGAGACTTCACACGCATGGGTAGGGGAATATTTACCTGCCAGGAATAACAAACAGCAAACTCGCGTGAACATATGAAAAGAAAAACAATTTACTTAGAAGATATTAATCGTTTTGAATTTAGGAAAAAATCAAACTGTATGAAAATGAGATGCAAACGATCTAGTCTAAATTAAGCAAAAATCTGGGGTAGGTATATAATTCAGTTAATCATAGAACATTTTGCACATTTGAGCTTTAAAAATTAATGCTGAATTAATTCCAAAGCATAAAAACTATACAGAGATACAAAATGAATACCGTACATGAACCTGAAGTATTGCAAGTCTTACCTCAACTTCCTGTAAGGTTTGGGTCCAGCTATATTTATCTAGAGTAGCTCCATTGCCTTCATTGGGCTTCATTTTCCCCTTATCTTCCTCTTCGACATCATCATCATCTTCCTCCATTTTCTTGTTCTGGAATGAAGCAATCAATTAAATAGTATCATCAACAGCAACACAAATATAAAGTTCAGATGAACATAATATTTTCTAACAACCATTAAATAATCCCTCAGCATATACTAAACTCATGATGATAGAGAAAGCAACATACATGATTCATCAAGTGTTTGCAAATACAGAAGAACATGAATGTCCTCATGAAAACGTGCATCAAAATTTTTTCAATTGAGTTACTAATGTATGGGAGCAGCTGCCCCAGCAATTTAAACACCTACGAGTAAAATATTATTGATGCAAATGTTGGTGTTGCTATGGTATATTTTTTATAACCAAAATCTTAAATTTGAAAAGAGAATGAAAGAGCTGCAGCTTACATCGTTATCAGATTGTGCCTGAGGTGCTTGTCTCACAGCATCGCCAGCATCCTGAACACCTGGTGTGATGATCTCCTCCATAGCTTCTTCATGGGAGCCATTCTGCCAAGACAAACCCATAATTATACATAACTCTCATGGTATTTTTAAAGCAACAGTAGTGAAAAATAAATAAGAATTGAAAAAAATTGTTGAGGCATGAATCAATTTGGTTGGCAGAGATTCTTGATAGATAACGAAATAAATAGGAAAAACTTGTCAAGAAGTGGAGCTTATGGTAACTGAACAATTTACAGCTAACAACATTGCCATAATAAGGGATCCAATTCTCATGAGTTTGTACTCAAGAGCCTCATACCATTGAATTTAAACAAGGCTGAAATAAAGTAGGTAAATGATTTCAATTATGGTAGAAAAATGTGACAATGAATGTTAGACATTTTGTTTAAAAAAGTCAATGAATCGATTTGAAAATATATGAAATTGTCTTTTCTCATAGTATAATGAACATTCAGTCCGAACTCCTAATCATTTTATTTCAAATAACTTACTTGTTCAGAAGAGTTTTTCTTTTCTTCTTCAAGTTTTTTCAGCTTTCTTTCTAGTCTTCTCTTCTCAGCAGCTTCATTTTCAGCTTTTTTCTTGTCATGCGCCTCAAAAGCCATTTTCTGATACTTTTGGAATTTTTCCAGTAGAGTCTGTAAAAAGGATGAAACCAAGGATTAAAAACCAGATACCTGCAAGAATTTAAACACCAAATTTTTATTCAACATACCTTCAATTTAGCCTTATTGAATGCAAGTGCTGCTTATATATGGATACTGAAAAATAGTGCCCATAGTGACTAACATCTTCTGATTTGTATTAGACACCACACTGTAGCACCACTGATAACCATCAATCATCAGGCTATCATATCTAACTAATATTTAATGGTAATCAATACCATGCTGTAAATTGTAAGAAGAGCATTAAGTAGGAGATAATAGCCCAAAAACCAATGACCACAAAGAGATGGTTGGCACACCTCTCAGATAATTCTAACAGGCTTACTATAGTTTATTTAAGAAGGATTAATCCTCAGTTTTTCATATTGAATGATAAATACCAACAATTATTCATGGGAACCTCACAATAAAATCCAACTTCACCAGGCTAAGTCTATGAAGGTCTCACTTTACTGTTAGGTACGAAAAACAATCACTCACAGCCTGTCAAGATGGAACAGTTACTTAGTACGTACTTTTCTGATCCCAATATACATTCTAATTTAAAATATAATGGATAACTAGAAGGTAATGATTGTGATTACATGTATACAAGTGGCAAGCTGCAAGCACTATATCTGCTCAATATATCCATTTATTGAGGTTGAAAGTAATAACCATTAATCTATTATGAGAAAAGTACTTACTTTTTTACTCTCTTCTGGTGATGTGCCTGTATAGAAGTCAGTTTTTCGGGCTAAAAACCCAAAAAAGGTTTCCAAGAGCTGGAAAAACAAATCAATTTATAAATGCAGAGTTTTGGAAAAAAATTGAAAAATTTACCTGCAGAATCTTGAAAAATTACTTAAGGCTAATATCATTTGCTCATCAGCAGAGTGGAAATCTAAGATTAGAGGTTCACTTAAAAAAAAGCGTTCCGCCTTGAGAAAAAAACGTTCCAGGCAAGTGGCAACTAGAAACAGGTTTGCAGGTTGTCAGAAATTGGCCTCGGCATGAACGTTATACGTGAGTTACGTCAGGCAACACAGAGAAAATCCTAAAATTGTTAATTGTGCGCGTCACTTACGGATAAGCAATAGGAATCTACTGAAAGAAGAGTACACGTTGTGCTCGGTAGAAGTTACAAGGTCGCTACTGACACCAGTAGAGAATCATCACTCACAGTCACCAATGAGCAAGGGAGATCTTGGGAAGGCTGCATTATTCATCAGAGATAAACATTTTTCCAAAATATCATAGTCCAGTCACCAGTGAGACCTAATTTACTATGTATACACTACCACCTTCCACCACTGCAATCAATCAACATACTACGCTAGAAATGGCAGCAACAATAAATTAAAAATAGAATAGAATGAAAACATTTTGGTAACTTTTGAAGTAGTAATTTTATTATAAAAATTGAAACACAACTACATATTTAGAAAAAGAACATAAGACAAATTTTTACAAAATCATGGGTTACAACTAGAACTATATTATAAATGAAATTATGAACACATATGAATTTATATATTTCTTGGTGAAAATTCACACATTTACCTAAAATCAGATATTTTAAAAGATATTTTAAATTATATTAATAATTCATGATTTCACATAATTAATATATACATTATTCTCCATTTTTGCAGCTGTGTTGTGTTGCTTGGGCTTGCTTTAGTTGATTGGCTCAAATTTGACAGCCAAGTTATAGAGGAGAAGTTGAGAACTTCAGGCATTAATAGAGTAAATAGACTTATAAAGATTGGGAAGTTGAAAAATTAACTTGATGCCAGAGCAGCCAGATTGCCAGTTATATGTTATGTAAAATAATTACCGTAAAATGGGGTAACTTAGACCGGCGGGGTAACTTAGACCACTTTTAGTTTTTTTTACAAAAACCCCCACAACTCAAAAACTATTTGACATAGAAAAATTTTGTCAATGGGCATTAAAGGCCTAATACTGAGGCTACATAACACAATAGAAAGATTTAAAAAGTTTGCATATCTAATAGGTTAAAAAATTAAAAATGTGACCCACGAAAAAAAGCTATTATTTAAAGCCTGTCAGAGTACCCCCTCCAATTTTTCTATTTTTTGGTTAAATAACTCCAGGTTTTGATGCATTGTAGTAGAACTCTTCTAGTTACATATGCAAATGACAAATTTTAGGAAAGTCTCATAGTTTGCAAATGGGGGGTGCCGCCCCCAAATGGGGTAACTTAGACCACCTAATGTCAGCCCTGACGGGGTAACATAGACCGGCTTGGAAGTTAATATAAAATTACCATATATAACATATTTTATGTTTGACAGCCTATTTATGTTTTTTCTTTATGTTTCAGACTCTACAGAGTCTTATATATGGTAATTTTAACTTAATATCCAAGCCAGTCAATATTACCCCATCAGGGCTGCCATTATTTAGTCACATTTCCCTCATTATGGGGTGGCACCCCCCATTTGCAAACTATGACACTTTCCTCAAGTTTGTCATTTGCATATGTAACTAGAAGAGTTCTACTACAATGCACCAAAACCTGGAGTTATTTGGAGTTATTTTACAAAAAAAAATAATTGATTTTACCACCCGGTCTAAGTTACCCCAAGAGCTGGGGTAACAAAGACCATCACTTTTTTTGAAATTACATAAAGACTATGAGAGGCAGGAGCCAGCAATTTATGGTGAGTGAAGCTAGAGTATAGACCTGTATTTTGCATGATTCAATTCAAGTTTAATTTAGCTAATAAGAAAATGGCATCATTTATAAGAAAAAAAGTGGTCTAAGTTACCCCATTTTACGGTACTAAATTTTAGACTTGAATACATTCTACATGCATCATATTTTTAAAGATTTAAAGATAGAAATCACAATTCATGAATACATCTAAATTACTTACATCCAAAACTCCACCAGTATGTTGCTGAGCCAATGCCATCAGCATGCCATCAAACTTCTCAATATTGTCAGCCATGATGAGTTGATGACAAAAATCTAGGTACCTATTCAGTTGAAATGTTGAATGTGTCGGCTATATATTTAAATTAACTACTACGGTAGACCTTAATTAAAAATCTGATGCAATTGATTCTGGCAAAGGATAAATAATTAATGTACAATAATTAAAATTTGGGCTAAAATTAGTTTTCAAATGTTACAATGTTACTCCTAGTCCTAGACCTACCTAGTTCTTACTCTTACCTTAGAGGCTCATGCTCAGCCTAGGGCCCTAGGAGGCTAGGCCTATGACTGGGTGGCCTATGTTAGGTTTTCATGAATCATTGAATGTACTACAATAGGCCAGGGGACAAAAATTCTCTATGCATGCTAAACTAAAGTGGCTTGCACTGTTGACAACACACACAACCTAACACTGTGACTGTGTGACAAAAGTATCAAACAAGGCTGAAGGCTAAAATGTTGATTGATTTGGGTAGGGTTAGGCTTAGGGCGATTGCTACCAAAAAGACATAGGTATATATTTGGAGCCACAATATATCAGTATATATACTGAGTACCAACTTGGTGATTTAAGGCTTACATTCCTTACAAGTTACAACAATATAAAATTATCATCTACAAAACCCATTTAAAACAGTAAAGTTGAATCTAATAGTAGAATAGTGATGCATTTTGAAATGGAACTTAATATTTTGGAGTTATATCTCTTACAGCGGAAAGTAAGAACTGTAAGATACCTACTAGCCTAGGCCTACTAGGTGCTCGTATTCTAACCACTTGTCATCTGCAGCAACACGACCGCGCGGTTCAACGAGACTGTTCTGGAAAAAACGTCCGCGTTAACATGGTAACGCTGTGCAGAGCGTAAACAACAAGGTTGCAAATGACATTTTAAATGATTTTTTTTTTAATTTTTTTGGTGTGTTTCTATTTGAAGCCAGTGTCATTGATAACATCATATCTTACATACTTTGGTACAGATGTATTTCTGTGACAAGTTAAGTATGTCTTCTCCTTATATCCCTTAAAACGATGTCTAGCTATTTGCAGTATCATGGGTTTACCACCACCTGTGAATCATCCAAATGTAAGTACCCGTACAATAGTCTGAGTGGAGAAATTCAAGATCAGATTAATTTTTTATTGATATTCAGTCTCACTAATCGACCTAAATTTCTAGCCAGCTTCAAGTCGAACTCGAGGGTTGATGATCATTGATCATTCTGCCAATAACAGGACAGATTTCTACCGCTCATACCCGTGTGCAGAATTTACAACCTTAGCCGCATGATCCCAATGCCTGAACTGAAGCTGTTGGAATTATTTTTTTTTTATCTTATTCCATTACTTCAGCTTTTTGTACGCAGTCACGACGCAGCTCTCTTCTGTGCCTGGATTTGTGGAGGCTCAATAAGAGATCGAGTGGTTCACATCACTGGCTCTGTATCGTCTCCTACTGAAGGAAGTCACCGTTGCGATGAGGCATCTCTGCTCTATGAAATGGAGACGGCGGAGCAGAGCTGGGCAGCGCTACTTTGAAATGTAGCGGCCGCTACCGCTACATGCTCTAAATGTAGCGGGACGGTAGCGCTGTAGCGGCAAAACCTCGTATCGCTACTTAAATATGTAGCGGGCGCTACCGGTACCGCTACCGCTCAGATATCACCAGTTGAGTAATTGATGTTCTAAACATGCATAGTAAAAAAAAGTGGCCTACAATTTTCTCTTGAATATTGGAGACGAGTCAGTACAGACTACCGATAAGTTTTGTGACAGTGATGAGAAGAAGTAGACATGTAGTCGTACAGTCTTCTCAAAGCCTCGAAACCACACATCCGTAAGTGGCAGTTCCCATCCAGGAGCATCCCGCTTTGATGAGGCACTTTGGCTCAGCTGCCGTGACAGAGACTTGGCACAGCCAAAGTGGGTGACGGGTAATGGGCGTGGTTGAACTAATATACTAGTACGAACTTCAACCATGGGTATTGAGTATGTCGTTCGTAAAATCGGAATAAGCTTGTCACGACCTTTCTTTTTAGTTCAGGCTTGTGCCAGTTCATCGTTATATGCTATATGCTCTAGTTCGAGCATTATTATGAGTACAGTACAGATATTTTTCTTCGTTCAATGGAGTTTAACTCAGCAATTGAGTTGTTATTCGTTTTTTATTGCAAACTTGCAGGTTGGCCCGAGCTTGCTCGAGATCGATCATCCTTAAAATATTAAAATCTCGTTCCATAAAAGCCCGTCTTTTTTTATCCCGTCAAAATAAATCTCTTTAATCGTAATAAATCTAAGGCATACAAATTGCTAATATTAACCCGTCCCGTTCAATTCCATATTTTACTCAGAATTCACATTCGATTATAGTGTTGCATACAACGAAAAATCTATTTCCGAGCCTTTTGAATACATTTTATTCATACCAATTAAAAATTGAATTTCAATTTTTGATCTAATCTTTCTGCAATGCGTTACTATCCCTAAATTTTTAGGTACATGTAATATCCAGACATGATAAGTATCCTGCATGGGTGCGCTTCCCAACAGCTCCTATATATTTCCAGCGCCAGACTCCAAGCACTGAGACACACAAACTTTTAAAGTGTTTATGAATTGTATATTATCATGAGTTTGTTAACTGTGTTTAGTGTTTTTCGTTTGTATGGAAGTATTACCATTACCAGCACGTATTCACTATAATGCATCGGGATATTACTTGGCTGTTAACGTTGAGGTATTACTACCAGGCATTGAGAAATATACGGGGGCAGATGTTTGTTTGAAATTTGATTCATGAGATTGTTCAGACATGAAAATCTATAATGCCTTCTAAGCTTAAAAAATATAACTCAGTACCCACAGCAGTGAGTGACAGAGAGCGCATTTTCTCGTCGACGAAAACTTGAGGTCACGGACGGAAGGACAGACGGACAGACAGACGGACATGGCGAGCACAATAGTGCATTTTTTCCATAAATGAGAAAATGCGCTAAAAACGCAAGTTGAGTGAGTGTTCAAAGGGTCAAAATGTAAACAACACCTGGCTTAACTTTCAATGGGTTTCGAAATAATGGTCTATTAATGGACTCCCAAATAACATAGTTTATCTTTCCCAAGCGACGCCAGGTTAAATTGTTGCTTTCAAATAAATGAAAATCAGCAATATATTCTGATTTTCCAATCTGAGATGCGATTGGCAGCAAAAATCATAGAATTATTTTTGAACAAGATGACACACAGAAAATTTCAAGTATACGAAAGTTCATAATGCACGATTTACAAATTAATGGTACATTCACATTTCAAATTGCATCGAAACAGAGTAGCACTTCTATCACGTAAATCATGTCATATCAAATGACATCTTTCTCCATCTAAGGATTTACAAAAAAACCTATCCTTCACAGATATACAGAGCCCGAATACAAAACTGAAGCAGCCAAAAATTCCAAGGAATTCGAACTAGATTTTTATTATCGGAGTCTGGATCACAGTCTTGGTACGTCTAGGGTAACTCTTTTGACGTAGCTTGTCATAATGATGCGTATCATCTGCCCATCCGGCACGCTTCTTTATGGTTACTAAAACGAATTTCAAGTTTATGAAGTCGCTCAATCTGAAAACTGCTTCCTTCCCGACCCTGAACTTTGAATACTGCGGCGCTTATGATCAGACGTGCCGACAGCGGTTCTTCATCCCACCCGTAAGATTTACTTGATAATTTTAAATTAGACTAAATTAGATATTCCGGAATCATCACCAAACCTAAATGGGAGCAGCCTTGAATTTCAAGTTGGATTCATCTTTACAATATAACGCAGGTACAAATGAAATGAGTTATAACGCAGTTGCATATAAATGTTGAAATATAGTATAACATAATTGGTTGAAAACGATATAGATAGGTTCATAGTCCCACCTCCGTGTTTCGCAGTGCTTAATGATAAGACCAACAAAAAATTAAGTCTTAGGAAACGCTCTATAAAACAAAGGGTATCGTGGATACGCTATGCCAGTTTTAAAACAAATAATAAACCCGTCAACAAACCGTAAAATATAGGCTAATTATTGAAGAAATCAAAGCCTTAGACCACAATTAATTACAGGTAAAAATAATAAAGAGCTCACTTGAATCACTACGGTGCTATATAAGTTCATTCATTCGATGAACATATAGCATGCTGGTCGGCTTCCGACGAAATTGTGTGAGTAACAGCGATGCCGTATTTCGTTCATGCACTTAAATTATTTTATACCCAATAAACCAACGATTATTGAAACAGAAGCCTCAAAATGTCTGGCATTTGAACAATTGTGTTTTTGCTTGTCGTAGATATACTGGCTAGACGTGTGATCGCTCCTCAGCACCAGAAGGAAGCTCACTCACACCTTAAGCTTGTTTAATTATTTACTTTTCTATTTCTCTAATGAACACCAAGATAACAGGTTATGATATCTGTTGACACTTATGAAAGCACACTTATATAAACTTATACGGTGAGTCAAATTCCAGTCGCTCGATGAAACAACATGTTGTTCCCGCAAGGGCAAAAGCTCCAGGCAAAATAAGTTGACTCTTCAAATCGTCCAGATCAAAGATTTTTGCTAGGAAATTACGGACCAAAATTATACCTACAAAGCAGACGACTAAAAGCGATGAAACTCTCACGGAAGGTCGCCAACATCACGTTGGAGTAGTGAGCGCGATCGAGAGAGGGGCGCAGATTTGAAAACCATTGAAATACAACGCATTTAATACCGCAAATTTATGCGATGCATGTAGAGAGTTGCGTTTTTAAAGGTCGGTACCGTGCGCTTCATTTCACGATGGTTACGAATTTCACAGGACGACTTGGTGAGCATCACGAGACAGTGTCGGCCAATAATAGCTTCATGTCGCTTATTATACCAAAAAGGTTTCTGTTTGATTACTGAGCAAGGCTTGAGTGCTCATGCATATTGATACAGAACTCACGTATTCGGCCCCATTCTCTTCAGTCGGACTGTACGTTCAGACTGCTCGATTGATTGGCACATATGAAAATTTCAATTGATTTTCTCGATGTGTTAACAACAGTTGAACGGCATTAAAGTCAA